AATGAATGAATGAATGAATGAATGAATGAATGAATGAATGAATGAATGAATACGTTTCCCAAAATAAAATGTCATTTGGCATTAGAAGACTCCAGGCACACTGAAACTCACAATTTGTCCTTACTCTAGCCAGCTGTCCCTGACCTAAACGCTGAAAGTCTTTCCAAAAGGCACTCTGATAAGTTCAATTTCTCCTTACACCACTGCTTACTTGGAATTCAGGTGATTTAAACAACAAAGCATCTATATTTTATCTTGTTCAAACATACAGTTCTATTCACCATTGTACTCGGAAGAATAGAAAATTAACTCATTAACATCAACATTACTGTGAGCAAATATAATGAGTAACTGACCTCAATTATGTTAACAATAATTGTAATCATGCTTTATGTGTTGGCTTCTAGGAGGCAACCACTCTCTGCATTAGGGGTGACTGTGATGGCTGAAGCTGCTAAGAGTTCAGTAGTCTTCCAAGTCACAAGCTGCACTCTTGGGTCCTGTCAGATGGCACTCTTTTGTACATGGGACCTGCATGCCCTTTCTGCTGGATCTGATGAGATGGGTAGATGTGACTGGGATAAGGCAGTCCCACAGATACCCTGGCCCTTTTGTCATGTAGGGGATTGCTCAAATATATATATCTACATATCTACATATCTACATATCTACATATCTACATATCTACATATCTACATATCTACATATCTACATATCTACATATCTACATATCTACATATCTACATATCTATATCTATATCTTCCAGCCCCCAATTATTTGGGCTTATTTTTTCTGCACAGTCTCCTAATTTACAGCATCTGTTTTAAGATGGGGAATAAAATGGATGTTCACGATCAAGGCCAATTTGCAGTCATTCACTGCTTCAATTAATGTATGTTTTTATCCAGTAGATCTAAAGCTTTTTATTTCACTTAAGCATAACTGAAGGTCATTTGGGAAAAAATCTACTAAATTTAAAGTAAAATATTCTTATTTATGTTTGGGGTTGGCCATCCAATTTTTTCCAGATAGCAATTTAATTAACCAGATACACCAATAAAACAGCCAAACAGTTTAACATATAGGATAGGCATACCATTTTAATATTGATCTTGGAATTTGTTTTGTCACAAAATAATTTAAAGATGCAGCAATAGAAATTATAAAATTTCACTGGGATTGCAACAATATTACAACCCCATTAGAGATAAGTTTGGATTAAGCAAAATATGACTGGAGTACATTAAGTCAATAACAACTGTACTGATACACCTTCAACTGCATCTGTATAATGACAGTCGGTCATGTCCTGAATTCAAAAAACAACTACAATTTTTTGGAAGTGTATCCTACAAACATTTGTTGCATACTTTGGTAATGTAAGAGTCTAAACTAATTCCTGTAAGCAATATTTTAAAATATCAGTAGATGTAGTTGTTTTGCTCATAGATCTCCCAGGTGAATCTTTGCTTAAACAGGGATTCTCAAAAACTGTGGTGTTACACCTCCTCAAAATAGTAAAATGAATGGGTGTGATACTCCCATGAATGATGTAAGGAATGGCTTCCCAGTTGTAATGAGTGCCAGATATCAGCTTTGCATCAAACTGGTCCCTTACCTATTCCTTATCTCCTTTGTGCATGCAGAACTGGAGCCCTGCCCGACCTCAGGCCTGCCTCCCCATTCAAAAGGCAATCTTCCAGAACACAAGCAGGAAGTGAGAGAGACATGAGCAGCCACTGGCGGCAAAGCACTACCAGGCACAATTGTCCTCCCTGTGCATTTTATACCTTCTACCTCTCCCCCCAGCATGGGATCCTGGTGCCCTGTCCAATACAAAAACACCTTGTTTTGCAAGCCTCTCCTCCTGGAATCATGGAGCCTCTGCAGGTCAGTCTGTCCCATTGCTTTTATTTCCAGAGTCCACTGGCACCCAGGCACCCTTCCTTCCCTTTTCTGTCAGTTATCTTCACACATATCCTCCTTGTCCCAACCTCCCTCAGTTTTACACTTCTTTGCACATGCCTTCAGAATAAGGGTGACCCTGCCTTTCAGCACAATGGTGGAGCCCTGCACAGTCCAAGACATGCATTTCCCTAAATATGCTAGCAAGCACACATTGCTCATATTCTGCAATGCCACGCTAAGCAATAGCTCACCAAGGCAAGAGGAAAAAGGGGAAGCAATCCTGACCTGATCTTCTCATTACCAGTTGACCAGGTGTTCCCTGTGCAAGAGTGGTACAATTTGCAACACCTGCATGCTGAATTAGGTGAGGAAGAAGAGTGCACTTATGCCAATATTCCATAAACATCACATCTGCACAAGCAAAGCTGGAGTCTATGAGAACTTGATCCTGCTGTGACTAGAGGAGCTAGACTGCTAATTTGTCTAGACAGAGCAGGACCACATTTGCAATGTGATCTGGCTTGTATGAGCAACTCCTCCCATTGCAATCCCCTCTTAAATTTGTTTGCTACTCCTCAGAGGGTCATGAGCCACACGTTGACTCCTAGCTTAAACTATCAAGTAAATTCCTTTCTTTAGTGTTGACAATTTGTTTTGCCCCTCATTCTGAAGGCTTATCTGAATAGAATTATTTTTCAGGAAGATTAGTTATGATAAAACATGTCAATATAATCTTCTCAAAAGACTGAGTGACTAGTCCAACGTCACTCAGTGGATTTTCATGATTGAGGGTGGACTTGAATTTTGTGTGTTCTTAACCACTGTGGTTCATAAATCATGATTTATGGCTTAGCATGTTGTATGAAACCAACTGTGATTTATTCAGCAAATTATAATTACACAAACCATAGCTTAATGAAGATGCATGAACTAAGACTTAAACCTATTGAAAAGGAACTTTAGTTGGGTATGACTACAGTAGTTCCACTGATTTTAATAAATCTAGTTTGAGCATCACTAAGTCTGGATTTCAACTGTTCTCTGTGTATGTGTGCAACTGTATGTGCATGCATGCATCTGTAAACCCAATTTCATAAATGCAGGCTTCAGGAAACAAATATTAACACAACAAGGGACTATCTCTAATACTTCCTTACTTTGTTTTAACCTGACAGAATAGTGAATATTTAATCTTGCTGTTTCTAGAATCCCACACAAAATGCAGCAAATAATTAAGTTGTATTGAAAAATATGATGTACCTGCATATCAGCTGAAGGTGCACCCTGAAGCAATGTCCACTCATACCGTGTGATTCCATGGTCATCCACACTTTCTCGGCCATCCAGGATAACCCAGTCAACAGGTAGCTGAAGAATAATATCTTCTCCTGCCTTGCTGAGAGGAGGCTCATCAGTTTCTAATTAAAATAAGGAAACTTAGTGAAAAAGGAAATGAGTGCACATCACTCAAAAATCAAGAAAAAACTGTCCTAACAACAAAATATTATTTTCTATACAATTAATTGGAATGTCTTTAAAAATGCAGTGGAAGATGTTGATAGTTTTTCACTGATCCAGTTAAGGATCTCATGTGAACAGGGCCACTGAGCTCTTCTGGTCCATTGTGGTATAATATAAATAGAATATATTTGGGCTCATGATAATCCTGCTCATTTTTTGAGCCAGCTAGTAAATGTGGCTTTGATGAATTTGAGTAGGTCTTAAAAATAATAGATTGTGATTTTGGTATGTAACTGAAAGCCTTTCTAAAATGGGCAAAACAAATGCATACATAATCATTGTCATTTGGCTTGTCCAGAGCCCCAGCTCCCAGCCAGCGATAGAAATCTGAGTTAATTATCTCAGGCAACAGGGCTAGAAAAAATCTACAGTTCCAGTGTTCTTGGAGAACAGCTGCCAGAATAGTCTGAAAAAATGGGGGGACTGAATCAATGAATTGATTCTGGAACTGCATTGACGCAAGAGCTAACCCATAGTTAATTGAACCATGGTTTATTGAATAAACACAATTTCAGTCCTAGTATGTTGGGCCAATCACCCAGGGTAAAGCAACTCCTTCATTTCATTCTCTAATAATCATAGTTTCATTTCCAGTCAGAAAAATAACACAATCACTCTTCAAAACTGAAACCTAGCTGTACTTTCCTGTCCATTTCTAACGTGTTGTTGGCAAACTAAACAAGACATGCTAAAAACAAATCAAAATTATCACTGTACAAAAAAATAAATTTGTGTTATGGGATGGACTAGTTTGAAATAGTTAGCTTGTGTATATCAGGCATGGTTTATATTCAGTTCTGTCAATCTTCTGCCAGTCCCAAATCAGTTGTAAAGTAAGAACAGACACTCTGAGCACCACACTTAAGAAAGATTCATAAAATCTGGAAAACAGGTCCAGACTAGGGCAACAAGGATGATCAGTGAATGAAAAAGCTAAAAGAAATGGGAATGATAAGCCTTCACAAAACTGAGGGTGAGGTGGGATATAACAACATTCTTCAAATTCCTGATGTCACAAAGAAGGTGGCAAAATCCTGTTCTGTACTATCCCATGGAATAATGAAATCACAAGAATGCATGTTAAGCAAAACTTCACAGAGGAAGCAATGATCCATAGGTGGGGAGCTCCCTTTCATTGGACATAATGAAGCAGAGGACATACCGCCTAAACTGGGTTTCAGCATCCAGCAGGGGATTGGGATGGAGGAGGCAAACACCCCGTGCAAGTATACAAATATGTAAAGAAAGGATGGCTGGCGTGATCTTCGGTGGGGTGGGGGGAGTTAGTACTACAACACCTCCTATTCCTATATACTAGGGGTTAAACATATTTATTCTTAAGAGCCTCCTGCTCACGTGCAAAATCTTCTCCCTCTCCTTTCCGGAGCAGAAGCTGTTATTATTTTTAGCCCCCTCTAAGTCGACGGCGTTCTTCTTACCCAAAGCCGGAGGATGGCTGAGGGGTTCCAGGCAGTAGCTGTTGTAGCCGCGCTGCGGGGAGAAGACACAGACCGCGCGGCCGCGATGGGTGCAGTTGAAGAGGTAGCAGCGGGACGAGGCCGACGGCGGCTGCTGCTGCTGCTGCTGCAAGACGGCAGGGTGCAGCGGGCATCGGCGCAGCAGGCATCCAGGCACTGCCTCGGACCAGCCACCGAGCCCGGGGAGCCGAGGAACGTGGCACCCGCCGCGATGGAGTCCTTGGTGCGGATGATGGAGTCGGACCTGACCGAGAAGAAACTCCCGCCGCCGCTGGCCGGCCCTTCAGTCCCCCCTCGGCAGCGGCCGGCCGCTTCCTCCCGCTCACTGCTGCGGCCGCCGGAGGGATCCCTCTCAAGCTGCAGCTGGCGGCGGAACTCCTCCAGCAGCGATTCCACGCCCGACGCTGCCGGCGGCCTTAGCTCCCCGGCTGGCGACTCCGGTGCCCCCAGAAGCAGAATAAGGCAGAGGACGAGGAGG